CGATCCGGACGGGACCGAAACCATGTGTACCGCCAGCGCTAACGCTGGTGGTACAATTAACAATAAATTAGTGTGCTGCATCAATGGCAGTTGCATATTAGATCAAATAACATATTGATCAAATATGGCAGGTTTCAATTTATAAGTTTTTACTTATTTATCTATGAAAAAGGTTAAACAGTTAAAGCAATCATAATTCTTTTCATTTGTGCTTATTCTGTGTTAAGTAACACATCATTTTAGAAAAAATGAACCTTTCCACTGGTATCTCTGTCTCAACCTGTCAAAAACATGATTAAACTTTTAATATTTTCTAATAATTTCTTTCAGGAAAGAACAATGGGCTCTACAAACCCAAGTTTGCATGTATAGCAAGAGGTGTACACACATTCAATTTGTTTTGATGTAAGATCAAGTTCAAAGTACTATAACTAGCAGTACAAACCATTTGAATGATGGCAAAGTTCTAGTGTTCAAACTATTGATTTCATTATGGAAATGGAGCCTAGCATGCTGCCTAGAAAATGCATTGTCATGATGGGTAAACTTAACAACTTGAAAACAAATTTATAAATTGCAATTTTCGCAACAGCTTGGGATAAAAAACTTAGTATACCTTGGGTAATAAATGGAAAAATGGCTGACATTTCCTTCCAGGGATTTTTTTTTTCTTTTTGAGATATTTATGTCTAATGAGCATACTTGATATGTTATGCTATTAATAACTGTGAATTATTAGCTCAGCATTTGACAATGTATATAATTAGAGTTGTGATAATAAAAATTTATGTATCTTTCCTTTGACGTAAATTCTCAAATTAGTGTGTCAGCTTTATTTAAAATTGTCTGCAATAAAAATATCATGTAATTAGTTTACTGTTGCAAATGCTAAAGAGGAAAGGATTATATGGCGTTTGTTCTGTGACTCTCTCTTAAGGTTTCAATTATTTCCATTGTGTATTATTGTAATTTATATTCGCCATAGTGAATTCACTTTGATTGTGCCCATAAAGCACAGAAACTTAGAGCAGCATAATATGAACTCAGGAAATTTGCAACTTTACCAATAATATTTGTTGAAGGAACTATACCCAGCCCTCTTTACTTTTTATCAAACACCATAAAGACAGAATAAGGCTTGAGATTGAGTTTTATAAAAAAATCTGCTAAACATCTCTGAGAACACTTAATCAGCTCTGTTCTAGGGTCACCTTGGAACTGAATTTAAAATCAAAGTTCCACAAAAGCATCTCATGCCTGTAGAATTTATTTGCTGACTCCCATTGCCATGTCTCCAAGTAAGAGGGAAAAATATAGTTTAAAAGAAAAAACTTTCTAGCCTTTGTGCTTACCCCCCCCCCCCCCCCCCCCCCCTCCAATTTCAGAGTTTACTAAATATTGGTAGTAATAGGGTTAAGTTTTGCTGAAACTCAGGATGTTACATATGGACTTGGATGCATAAAAAAAATGGAGATTCATAATTATTAGAGATTGCCTAAAATGTTTTGTCAAGTTTTTTTTCAACATTTCGAGCAGGCATGGTCGCATAATTAAATCAACTTTATTGTAACCAAACACATAACAAAATTGGCGATTACATTTGAAAGGTTGGACTCCCAAACTTTTCAAGTTCCATTTCTGTGAAACCTTGCATTAATTAAAAAATAAAATAATACTCAAAAGTGAAACCAACTTGCATCAAACATGAACAATTATTCCAAGTTCAGCAATGATTTTTATCTCTTTCAACAGAGGAAGTTAGATTCTCATCAGCACTGGTTTGCCAGATTGCTGTCAAAAAAATTTATAAAAAAGTTCAACAGAAACAACAGTCAATTATGAGACGAAGAATAAATTACAGTGATTTTTGACTGTTTCATGAACAGAAAAAAAAATTATGAACAAAACATTTTTTACAAATGAAACAGTGTGAAAACATGGACCACAAAAAGTATTTTGTAGATTCTTTTTTTGGTGTCTCTTTAATAAGATGACTCCATTCAGCTACACACTTTTTTCTTCCAATTCTTCTAACAAGGACTGCAAATCCCTGTCCATCATAGTCTGTGTATGACAGTCTATGCTTGAGGAGAATCTAGTTTGTGTCTCAATCTCTGTTGACTGTGTCAGCTCAGCAGAAGAGGGCAATGAGTGCAAGCTGGTCTGAATTTCAATATTAGACAGGATGTTGCCACTAGGTGGAGCCTCTGTTGTCTGCGTTTGACAATCCATGGCTCTAGAGGTGGTAGAGATATTCATGGACAGGTGTCTTTGATGTGAGTGTATTTCAAGTCCAGTGATGCTGCTTGACTGAGAGAAAGCAGACGACACTGTGGCACTGTCATCTGGAGCCTCAGTCTGGGTCTGTATGTCAGCCAATGACAGATCAGGAAACAAAATGTCATCTGTCTGTGTGCCCATGCAGCTGAGGAACTCATCCACCCAGTCATTGACTGTCTGAGTCTCCATGTTCATGAAGTCATCTGCTGTTTGGACGCCTGAGTCACTGAACATAGTCCCCAACAGAGGATTTTCTACTGTCTGGGTCTCCATGTGAGTGAACCCAAAGGTCCTGGTACTTGTTCCCATTTCTGTCACATCAGCGTTACCCATTTCATCTTCTTGGTTTTCTCTAATCCCAGGACAACCTCCAATCATAGGCCCTCTTGTTGGTGAAACAGAAATTAGAGGATTTTCACTCTGATTTGCATTGTTCTGTTTGTGTCCATAAAGAATATTTGCATTTATATTCAGCCCAGAACCAGGGGTTAGCCTCTCACGGATAATCCTATCTGGACTGATCTCTCTATCTAACGTAGAAATGGCAGTCTGTGTCTGTGAACTTTGAGTTCCACCATAGTGCTGGGTGTTAAGAAAACTTGACTGAGTCTGTGTGGCAATGCTTTCTGCTAATCTCTCCAGCTCTTCCAGCAAAGCTGAGGTCTGTGTGCCACTCTCTGTGAAATCTGTCAGAGATAGTGGTTGTGGTAGACCACTAGTGTGGGCAAAAGTTCTGTTGCTCCTGGGTAGCCTACGGTGCACAAAGACCCCAGACGATGTTGATGCCAGGCCTGTTGAAGTCTTCACAGCACTAGCAGATGCCAAATCTGTGCTGCATGCAGAGTTCCAAGGCAAATCATCCATAGTTGTTCCACTGTCCACAGTAGCAGTATTACGTGTTGCCATGGTAACAGTATTAACCATGCTGGGATGAGGCCCTCTCTGACCAATCAACTCAGACCTAGTGCTCCCTACAGCTGTTGCATGTGGAGTTCCTTGCTTAGAGGCTGTTGCAGTGTTGGAGTCCCTGGAAAGGGTTTTGTTTTGCGTTTGTTGGCACGTGATCGTGTATGGAGCAGACGACCTTCTTGGTCTATTTTTCCTCCTTCGTGATGTTTGGTTGACATGTTTGAAGTTCGGGGATGGTCCACGGGCCGCTGATTTTGGGGAGACCTGTAGATAGATGCAGTACGCAATTTTACTGTGATTTACATAATTAAGGTGTAATTATAATTACTACACAGGCTTGGTGTTATGAAGAAATACTGGTCATACATTATCTGGTATTTGCCACTTTTCCAATGATAACTGATCTACAGTGTTAAAAGATGATAAAAATTAAATAAAAGGTTTTAAAATACTAGGAAACAATTGAACCTTAATTAAGATGTTGATTGAGAGAGCTATCAATGCAACTGAATAATGTTCCCTGAATAATGTACCCAGCTGATATTTTTTTCTGAATATGAAAGGAAAAATTCCCCATGAACACATTATACCAAGACATTTTCATTTTGAAAAAAAAACACCAAGACGAAATATACCATTGTAAAAAAGATCACTAAATGAAATATCATCATATAAAATTCACAATGAGAAAAGAATATACTGAAGCAACATTTTAACACATTAAAAGAATTTACTGGAAAAATTTAAAACTGCAATTTACCTGTGACCCCTTAGATATCTTAACAGCAGGTATGTGGGCGGCCCTCATTGCCTCTCTCACTATATAGTCCCCCGCAGTTTGTGTTCCCGCCACCTGCAGGCTCCTCTTGGTCAGTGTCTGGGTCTCAGTGCTGACCTCTCGTCTGTCTCTCGTCTGCGTGGCCGTAGCAGTCCTGATGTTCGCAGCATGAAGAGCATGCTGGCCTGAAATGGAATTTTTTAAAAATTCTTTAAAAATATACATTTTTTTAAGTTTTTGGGGTTAATGTCCCTCAATTCTTTATTGTATTTTAGAATTTTGAAAGATAATTTTAAAGTAACAATGTATAATTTTAGTATTGTATTTTTTAAAATCTTAAACTGTACAGAACATGTCGGTGCTAGGTGCAATGGAAATGTACAAGTACATAGTGAAATGTGCCACACAACAATTAAATATTATTATTATCATTATCATTATTATTATTATTATTATTATTATTATTATTATTATTACCTGAGGCTAGGCCCCTGTGAGGTGATAATATGGCAGAATTTGTGCCTCCTGGAATAGGAGCCTGTAAATGTGGCTGTAAAATAAATAATTTAAAATTATTTATTTCAAAAGTACAGTTTACTTCATATCTATTATGGAAAGGGCTCAGAGTAGTCTGTTGCACAACAGTTTTCAATACATGGGGCAGTCATGAAACTAATTTAATTTTAATTCTTATTTAATCCTATAATATCTTAATCTCAATATATACAGGCATGAAAAATGATCAAATTATCAAATGGCAATATATGTTATCTACCAAACACAACTGTATTACAGTATTCCAATAACAAAACTATGTAATAACCTGATATCTGTTCAATGAGGGTAGTGTCTGTATGGCCATAGAAGTATGGTTGACGCCTGGCTCTGTCTGTGTGTCCACACTTTGAGTATTATGGGATGGCAAAAAATGCATAACTGGACCTGGATAAAAGTAACCAAGTTTCAGAAAGCAATAAATTCATACTTTTGGAATATATATGCATAGATGTAATAATTATCACTGTGAAAATGCCTGTTATAATGAAATTTTGAAGCTTTGGAGTCCCACTTTAAATAATAATTTCTATTTCATTTAATAACATTTATCATTTAATAACATATATCATTTTTGCTTTTACTTGATATATGAACAAACAGAAAATATTTATCAAAAGATATGAGGGAAGATTTAACTGATCATATTAAAGTACAATAAATCTTATATTAGGAAATACCATGAATATTGACCGTAAACACTGGTTCAAATTGACCAGAATCAGCATCATGTTGGTTAGAAATGTAAAATGTTTACAACTGACAAAGTGTTAATTAGTTATAACTCATACCTATTAGGCTTTCTACCTAAAGGATCTTGTTAAATGAGTCTTTAGTCAGCAACATACTATAGATAGCAACAGAGTTAGAGATTCTGTTATCACAACAAACACAGAAATTAGAAACTTGGGTATAATTTTCCACAACAAAAGTGACATAACATCACACATTAACAATGTATGTAAATCATCATATTTTAATCTGCAATGAATATTATCTAAGATTCTTCACCTTACTGACAGCAAGCAAACAGCATTTGTGACTTCTAGACTCGATTATTGCAACAGCCTCTTGTTCGAATACCTACTGTAACTATCAAATGGAAAAGCTTCAGTCTATGCAGAATTCAGCAGCCCATCTCCTTTGTAAAACTCAGAAGTCCGACCACATCACACCAGTTGTCCGCGATCTTCATTGGTTACCCGTGTCTCAAAGAATATTTAATATATTGCTCTTGACTTGCAAAATTTTAAAAGCCGACTGTCCATTTTACATGAACAATATAATAGAACTTTTTATCTCCTTTTAGAACTCTTCATTCCAGTGGTCAGTTTCAACTCAAGCGAAACAATACCAAAAAGACTCCTTAAACATGTGGTCACAGGAGTTTGGAAATAGCTGCACCAATTTTATGGCACAATTTTATTAATGTATCAGATGTGTCTCTAAATGACTCTTAGCACTGTTTTAAAAAGAATTTTAAAATCCTTTTATTTAAAGAATATTTTGGTTAACTTTTATCTTTCAATTTAAAATACTTTAATGTAACTTTTTAATTTATCTTTGTAGTTTTAGTTTTTATATGTAAATGTAAACACAGCTGAGACGCATGTGTAGAGCAGTTTTAAGAAATTATTATCATTATTATTATTATTATTATTAACACATGAAATATTGGCAAAATTCCACAGGGCTCATTGTACTAAACATACAGTTCCTGAGGACTGTCACTCACACACCCCACATAGACAAAGGTCCTTTTTATCACACACTGTATATAATACAAACATACAAACCTTTTAACTGGATGGCAGCCATTTTTTCTGGTGCATTAGATTTGGGGAGGAGGGGCTTTAGACCAGAGGGTCTCGAGGCAGGTGAAGTCTTCGGCTTGAGTGACATTTTTGGTCCTTCTACATACACTTGGAATACCATGTCTGGCAATGGAGGGGTGACAGCTGAGCCTTTGCTTTTGGCAATGCTAAATAGGATGAAATAATATTATTAAAATTTTGCACCAAGATCAATTTAAACAAAATCACAGAACACGAACTGTAAACATTGGGAAATTTAAACATTTCAAGGATATACATTGTATGTGCAGTTTTCAGAGTTGTATATAATAACATGAAAAAAAAATTCAATAAAACTGTTATCTATATTTCTACTTTCTACACTTTGTGCTAATATTCATCTCTTTGAAGATCCTTTCAATTAAATAGAGTCCTTTTGGTAAATTTAACTTGGGCTTATAGATCATATTTTTCTCAACAGTATTGCATAGGAGGGTATACCCTGACGAGTAATAGAAAATCACTGAAAATTACAGCTTTTTTTTCTATTAAAAAGGTCTTACATTTAAAAGTAAAGAGCTATTTTTTGTGTATATGTTCTGCTTTCTGTACAGCATGTCACAAATAGAACACCTCCGTCAAATATTCCTTAGCATGACTTGGCTTACATTAGCATAAAATGAAATTAAAAAAGACAACTATATTATTTTGTTTATTTACCATACCCCCTTCCCCTCAATCATTACCTGGCCTTTTTTGGCTTGTACTCCTGTGGGTAGGGGTGGTTTGCTCTGGAACAGTGCGTGGCCAACGCTTCTCTCGTAAAATACCAGTGGTCACATGACTTACAGGTGTAGGTGACTCCACAGGACTCCTCGTGCCACTTCCTGTCTCTGTCCAGTCCGAAATTCCGGCTACACTTGCTGCACTGGTACTTTTTCTCAGCATGTACCTTCATGAAATGCTGAAAGACAAAATATAGTGATCCGCAATTCAGTTATAGGGGCGGAGCTAGAGATGTTTTCTGGCAGTCTTTCAAATTTTCTTTGTTGATCCACCCTCCACTTCTGACCTTCTTCCAACAGAAAAAATTAGATGCCCATCAATGTAAACTTAAAAATTCTGAGAGACCCAGAAGACGGCCTCCATCTGCCCCTGAGTCATGTGTTCAAGGTCCTACAATCAGGGGTCAAACAGCTCACAAGTAAAATAAACATATCAAGTCACTTAAAAAAAGTTTTCTTCTTTTGCCATCATTACCTTAAACACAATGCCACTGAATACTCTTAATACTCACTTGCTTGAGTTTTTTAAAAACAGGAAAATGTTTGTGTCCTCCATCTTTCCTGTAAATGCATTCTGGCATAGGACAATGGTAATGTATGGCAGCATCTTTAGCTACATGAGTACCATCCTGCAAATAATGGAGCAGTTGCTGCAATTTTCGAACACTTGACTCATTCAAGATTACTGTTCTGGTGTACAGTTACTTTAGCAGCCTACTAGTATAGTAATGCTCATGCTAGTCACAATACAATTCTTCCACAGGGAGCTAAGATAGTGATCATCAAATTAAAATATTACTCTATTACTTTTTACAAAGTTGATCAAGTTTCATAATAAATTTGTAAATGAATCTTTCAGATAGTATGACAAAGACAAAATCTGTTAAAGGTGTGTTTAGAAAAAATCAATTATACACTCGAGTGCAATGCTTTACCTGTGTTATAACATGTAATCTACACAGATATTCAGAAAAAAAATCATTGACCTCAGGATTGATGCTACTGAGTACTGTAGTAATTAATGAGATCATTCCAAACATTGACCACAATGGAAATTTCCTTTTCCTGTGTTACTCATGTACATACTTTTATGTATAATTTACATTTTGAATATTAAATAAATATATCATATCGTATAGGGTGCAAACCTTTACCTGTGTCATACCATGGGTTTTAAACAGGTGTAACTGGAGCATGGACTGCTGAGACAACTTCACCCCGCACTCTGGGCACTTCACACTGATTTTCTCCTCCGCACTCAGGGCGTCCACAGATGGGCAAATGGTTACAATGTTACCAGGAGTTGCCATGGTATCTTAATCCTACTTTTGTCAACCCCAGTGTATTCTGCAAGCCATCTCGTTTCCCCCATGTACTGTATTACTGACATTTACATGGATCTGAATATAGAAGAGATATCTAACTTAGTCAGTTAGTGTTCCCACTACTAGAGAATTCATGTCAGTGTAGTCTGTCTATTGACACCCTGAGCTTCAGAGATAACATGAAACACACCATTATACCATACATGTACCTTGCCGTTTCAATCTATATATTGATGGACCTCAAACACATGAAACGACCCCTCTTCAATAGTAAACTTGTCTTACATAATTAGCCCCGTTAAAAAAACGCTATTGTTTATTTTACCCTGAGGTTATGGTATCACGATACATTTAATGAGTAAATAATCTTCTTTAACGGTAAGTGTATGAACATTGATGAACATTTTTTTTACTATTGTATTCAGTCACTGTTTAAGAAGACATATTAACGGTTTAATTATCTATTTTAAGTGAAGTGAACTATGCTTTTTGGGTTGTACCACAATCAGTCTGCTGTCTGATAGATTATATTTTCTTACCTTATGTATAAAGAACTAAATTCCACTTTGTTTTTATTCGATGAAACCACGAAAGTTTGACACTTATTCTCTCTTCGGCTCTTTTATAATAGGAGATTCGAAAAGTTACCAACAAAACAATGGATCGGATAGATGCGTTTTGATTGTGCGGAGCGCACCAAAAGCAAAGTCACCACTATGACACTGAAATTATCTTAACTTGATGTGAATTAACATTCATAAATTAACAAAAAGATAATGTGCCAAAAATGTTTATATTTGGAAAGTCAACAAATTCTACAGACCTAATCCTTCATCATCGATAGTAGGCGTCTTCATGCAGCAGAATATATTTCAACAGTAAAAATTAAGAATTTCACTTTCAATTTCGAACTGTGATGGAAAGCAAAATTTAACCCTGACTTGGGATTTTTTCAGTAACATTTTTATAAATCGTCATTTTTATATGGCCTAAACTCACTATATTGGAATTCACAACATTTTCCCCTGTCCACACTTTACCTCAAACTATTTTAATTAATAATGAATAATGTCGTACAGGTAGGCTGCAGGGCCGTATTTTTGAACTTCTGAACCTTCTCATTTTCCAAGGCCAGCAGAAATCTCTTGCTCTTGCGTCTAGACTAGGACAAATAATACGATTCGTATTTTTGTCCAAGGTATATAGATGAGCGCTATATAATAGCATGCTTGCATGTAGAGCGCACAAAATATAAGTAGGGCCCTACCTCATTAAAAAATTAGAGAATTCAGGCTGTACGCGAATGAAAAATGAATGAAAAATAAAACACGTATTAACTTATCTATATAGAGTAAAGTTTGGCTAACTACTGGTTAAATATCCATTCGAAGGGCTATATATTTATGGAATAAATAAAATTAGTTTTGATTTGATAATCTATGAGCTTTTTAAATAAATTCCTTCAGCCTTAAAAACAGATCTATGGAAACAAAGTCAAAACAAAAGATTTCAAATCTTACCATCCAGTTTTTCCCATGAAGAAGGAACCATTTAAAATCTACCCGTCCTATTGGGCCTAAAGAAGGGGCCTGTAGTGATACGATCCCAATTCAATCCAACAATCTGAAACATAAATCAATGGAAATAAAGACAACACAGTTTGACTTATGTTTATTTTCACTTAAAAATTCGAAATCTTTGACACGCGCGGCACGTTCATCTATAATTAAAATTATTTAAAATATTCAATAGAATAAGAAATTTTGCATGTTCTTGGACTAATCAAGGCGGTGTATTGATGTATTCGCCCAAGGTATAAAGTTTTGCAAACCTTGCGCTTACACAACAGATACGTCTGGTGGCGATGCACATTAGGCCTATACACTTGACCAAAAAGCTCGGAAACATGAAATTGTTTCTCAGTAATTAAAAAACTGTAATGTCGTGAGGAAATCTCCAGTGTGTATTAAAAAATAACGAATGATGAGTGCATTATCCAGGGGCGGATCCAGGATTATTTGAAGGAGGGGGGTCCAGTTTTTTTAAGAATGAGAGGTCTCTGATGCGAAGACAACCCTTGCCCCCTTGGTGTGGGTTTCGGTGTTTTGGAGGGCAAACGGTGCCATTTGGTGCAGTTTAACGTTTAGAACTATGATTCAGCGCTTCAAAATTCTAATTTCAAGAGGAGAATATTGATGTGATTTTTTTTCAGAAACCGAGGTGGGCGGGTGGGAAATGGGGNTCAGAAACCGAGGTGGGCGGGTGGGAAATGGGGGGGGGGGGGGGGTCAGAACCCCCCTGACACTCTTCTAAATCCGTCACTGATTTTTTTGGGCTGTCAAGGTTTGTAAACCTTGAACTATAGGCCTACCTGTAAAGTTGTCATTTCGCGTCCGCCACGTTTCACATAATCCAACTTCTGACAGAAAATAGTTAATTCTAAAATAAAATTTTATTTTCCTTAATCCCCTATTTATCAGTTTACAATGGGGCCTTTTCTCTTAATGATTTTATGAACGCACATTTGAATGGCTTACGAGTTTTCTAGATTACCGAAAATGTTGCATAATGTTCCTGATTGAGCTAGGATGCACATATTTTACAATGGGATTTAAATTTCATTTTTCGGAATGTTTAACGTTCGGTGACAACTTTTCAAATAATCGCAATTTACAATTACTTGTTTCTTTAACATACAAAGTGAATCGCTGGCTGATCCAAGATTACAGTTAATATCTCAAAGACAAGATGCTTTTCATTTGCTATGGCATTACACAAAACTGTTAAATAATGATCATGTAAATGCACCATAGCACTTCAGTAGCCGCCCATCCTACCACCTAGAAGCGTCAAAATAATCTATGTACTCTTTGAAATATTCTAACACCTCGTCCTCCCCGAGGCCATATCTTGCCAAATTGTACTTATGGCGCCCATACTTGTTTTGGGGATTTTCTCGTTGGTAAGCGTTCATTTTCTCTAAAGCTTGATCAGACAATGTCATTCCAAAGTGTCCGTATACCCGCCTGACAGCCTCGATTGGAGATGCAACAAGATCTTCATAATTAATATCTATAAAACGGCTTTCTTCCTCCTTGTTCTTTTTTCTGAACTTTACCAACTCGTTGCCACTTTGAAACAAGGGGTTGCGTAAAAATATCTGACCTATCTTCTCCAGTGTACTTTTATCAATTTTGCAGCCGTACATTCGAAGTGTCCACTCCTTGAGAGAACAAAGGGACGCCACAGTTGCGCAAGGGTTTCGGAACGTATGGATAAAACGAGCGTCGGGATACACCTCCAGTATGGCGTCTAGGTGAGCGCTGTGCATTGCCTCTTTTAGGAAAAGTTGTTGCCTCTTTTCGATGAAATCTGAAAATACACAAGTACACCTAGTCAAACATCAGTATGGCGTTGTTTCTTCTGCAAAGCGCTACATGTAGCTTCTTGCAGTATGAAATATTATTTACTAACTTCTCCGCCTTCAAAGGTTATTAACACATAAACATGTATGTATTATATTTCGATGTACCTATCACTCAAAAGGGACAGTATTGTTAATCATCATTTACATATAGGCCTAGCTTTCCTTAGTTTAGTCACCCATTGTGCCTACCGAACCAGGACTAACCTACATTTAGAATAATCACTTTTCCCCAGTTACGATAAAATATTGGCAATTAATCAAACAAGGCAACATTCTACCTGTTCCCCTCGCAAGTAAAATTAACTGAAGTTGTTTCTTGTGGAAGCGGTATGCCTCCACCATCTGCGCTTTAGTCCTCGCACGAAGCCAGTTATAGTAATCACTGGGGTTGCTACTCAGTATGGGAGCGACGGTGAAAATGCCCACATTGCGAAAAATGTAATAGCATTCGTATGGCATCTCTGGCCGAATGTAATGAATGGTCTTAGCCATAGGGTAAGCGTCGAAAGCCATGTCTGAAATTTAAGACAAACAATGCGAGTTGGCACTTTTAAATAGCAAAAAAAGTCATAGAAATATCATCATTAATTGTTAAAAAATGTTTTATCTATAAACCCGTTTTGGGAGTTTAAATATCAATTTTTACCCTTAAATTCGCCATCTTCGTAATGTGAGTGATTCAAAAGCTAAAAACTTAAAACTCAAAATCTGACTTATTGATTCTTATTCTGTGACCAGTTTTGGATACGGTACCAAGTGTAACTTGCTGAAATAGCAGGAAAACTTTGTTTTTGCGCAGTGGTCAGGAGAAAAAGAGAGACTACATCTGCAGCCAGGAATGGTCGACCTTTTTTCTGTGTAAACGTGTCTAGAAAATCAATATATGTACCTAATTCCTGTTTGACTGCCGCTATGCGTTTGTTCACAGAAGTTATCTCGGGTACCGGCTGTCTTAACTCGTATACCTTCATGGACGTATTTTGAGGGTCTTGAAACAACAGGTTCTGTAGAAATGTCGTGCCTGATCGAGAGGGCCCGATGATGAATATGGGTTTAGTTATCGGACACTGGAAAATAAGAACAAAATATTCAAATTGAGTCGTCGCATGTTGACAATTTTGTTGGGAAACTGAATATGTTTTTAATATTAGTACTGAGATACTGCTGCCTTGGTTTTGGATCAGCTGCCAATTTTTCATTTTTACACTAGTACAAATTAAACAGCAATAAGTGGTCAAATTGATCACTTATTCTAAACGATACCTTTTTTTTGTCAAAAGGTAAAGGTAATATGCCTTGAACCACAAGTCTCGTTTTCGCGAATTCCTGATTCTGGGGCCAGATCGTAGTCGTGACGGGCTGACATGCGTCACCTGGAACTCGTGACTTTCCATAACCATATGCCGTGACTGACGCGCCCACCTTCCCTACGGAATTCGAAGTGGTTCATCTTATAGCAATCAAACGCAATTTTTAGATATTATTTCTGACAAAAATATTACACGGAACAATCTCGAATTTGAACCCGCATACTTGCATGTTTCTAGCTGTGTCCGTTACCACGGAGCCGCAAAAGCTTTGTTGGTAGGTTTCAGATCAAACGGAAACTTTCTACCTTAGGTACCGCCGTTCAGATATATTTCGTCCCGCGTTGTGGCTTCACCTATGAGGTTTATCTTAGGGGGATCCAATGCTTCACTGCGTGATGCATACAAATCTTACTTAATCAAATTGCACATGTACACTTACATGTAATACCATCAAACAAGTCAAGTGGACAAGCAAACGACTCCATTAAATTAATTTACGAGCGCGGGGATTATTTTTGTGAACTGAACAAGGTGCTTTTTGCCTCCATTTAATTAACCTTTCGGGACACTCATTTTATTCCAAACTCTGCTTCAACGCTTTATAGTTCGGTTGAGGGTATAACACACACACACACACACATTACCGTAGATAAATCAACCACAGTCAGCCGGCGTAGTACTGCAAGTCGATTTCGAAGGCTACTTTCCAACAACTTTCCAAGCAAATATCTGGTGAAAGCAGACGCAGTTTTGTCATTTTGGAAAGATCTTTGCAACACAAGCACCCCCTCGTAAGACCAACGGCCAATGGCAGTGTCCGAAAAAAGCAAACGCCGGTCAGCCTCAGAGAAATTCCCAAGCAGACTTTCTTCGGTGAGAGGAGTAAAACGCCTCTTAAACAAAGTCCGAAGAATAGCGTCGACAGCTTGTATGGCACACCGAAAGAAAAAGTAGAGAATCTTGTTGTAGTTCAGCATGTTACTCTCCGTTGCCTTTTCGTTTCGTTGACTTAAGTGAAGATGAAAATTAAGTTGGCTAACGTTTTTTTCTAATAACCTGTGTGTATACTGTTCCTTGCCTCACCAAGGTGAACCTGAAAAATGTACCGCAACCTGTATACCAATGTAGCGAGCGTTGTGCTACAGAGACTGATGAGTAAAGCCTAGATTACATTTACACGGGCGCCGTGCGATGAAATTGTCCGTACGATTTTTTTTTTTAATGAAGTTAATTTTCTTCAATCGATAGCTAATAGCGAAGTTAACTTCTAATGTTTCGATGTAAATGCAGTAAAATACCCAGCATACATGCATTAAAAAAAGCTGGAAAGTTGCCAATTTTGAATTTGCTTTTTCCTCCAAACGATGACAGCAAATATGAAGCAAATAAATAAATAAATAAATAAATAAACAAACAAACAAACAAACAAACAAACAAAAATAAATAAATAATTAAATAGAAATTAAATTAAATTTAAAAAACCATTAAATTTTCTTTTAATTTTTTTATCTAGATATCTAAGCAGCAATGTTGTAATAGATGTAAAATAAAGCCAAGTATGAAAAAAGGTATTTTTGCACAGAGGACAATTCATTTTCCCTGACTGCCAGTCATGTTTAGACCACACTTATTAGAAGAAAATTCTGAAGCTCTGCATGGCTTTCTAGAGGGGAAAATAGTAAAAAATTAAAAAAAATAATAATATAAGTAAATCAAAAAGCAAGGTGCAATACACATACAACTTGGAGTCCCTAAAAAAATCACAAAATCATGGGGAAAAGTAAAAGCTTAAATCCAAATTTGTGAAGCGCGGTTCAGGGCAAAGAGTAGGTCAGGTCAATTTCAAGATCACAGTTAGATTGCCAGTATATGACTTCTTATTCAAGTTCAACAGTAACTATGGGCATATCTCTGCTAGTTTTGAAGATATAAGGAACGGAAACCTTGCATAGTTCAGTCCATGGTGAAAAGTAGGTCAGAGGTCAATTTTAAGGTCACGGTTGGATTGTCAGTAATATGACTTCCTATTCAAGTTCAATAGTTACTTTGGGCAATCTCTGCCAGTTTTGGAGACAAGAGTTAGAAAGTTGCAAAGTCAAGTTCATGATAATAAGTAGTCAAAGGTCAATTTCAAGATCACAGATTACCAGTATATGACTTCCTATTCACGTTCAATAGTACCTATGGCTCTATCTCTGCCAGTTTTGGAGATGTAAGGGACTCAAATGTTGCAAAGTTCAATTCATAGTGAAAATAAGGTCAAAGTTCAATTTCAGGGTCACAGTCAAATTGCCAGTATATGATTTCCTATTCAACTTCAATAGTAACTATGGCCCTATCTCTGCTAGTTTAGGAGACATAAGGGACTAAAGTGTTGCAATTTTGGAGTTACAGTAATGTGCCATGAATTTCGTACAGAAGAACTAATTGAAATAAAGGAAAGGTCATTTTAGTTGATATTCATGAAATGAGAGGTGCTCAGAAATTCCAGATGTTCGAATTTTATGAAATAATGTCATTTTTGACCAGAAGTTGTCTGCCTCGCTATGCCTTATGTTATATTTTCACCTGGAAATAAAGGTCAAAGGTCAAATCCAAGGGCATATTTGAAATCTCCACATATGACTTTCGATCAGCCATCTGTAGAAAATTTTCCCATAATTCCTTCAGTTTGGGAGATATTTAGCATTTAATTTTGCAAATTTTGGACAAGGGTGCATTATGATGAGCGCCACACCTAGACCCCAGCACCGAAGGGGCCCAAACTTTACGTGGATCGAGTTGAGATTATATGTGACCTAAATCCAAGAGAGAGGTACGCAGGCCCCTGTAGTCTAGGAGGAGAAGCCGTAACGGTGATGTGGTGGCTGAGCCAGCAGAACATGCAGGTCGGGACTAAAACCATGTGTACCGCCAGCACCTATGCTGGTGGTACGATAAAACACAGTGAACTTGCTTTCACATGTGAAAAATATAATTTGCAACAAATGGCAAAAAAAACCCTCCATCATATTAAATTTCTTAGAAAGGTTTTTCTTTTAATTTTTTTTTTTTTCGTATTCTAGGCATTTCCTTTCATGCAGTATTATGAACCAGATTTTGTTACAAATCTATGAGACATCATAAGCGAAAGTTTTTACTAAAAGGAAACTTAATTTACAAGAAACAAATAAGATAATAAATACTAATAAAAGTATTTTCTGAAATATATTTTAATATCAATAATTAGCTTAATGACAAAAGTCAAATATAAAGAAACTTCACATGGGAATTAAACTGTGTAAAACTTATTGGGCTCAAATTCTTTTCAGATTCTTTGGCTCTTCAACCTAATTCACATATATATTAATAACGTATTTTTGTAGAAATAATTATATATCTTATAAAAGCAGAATGAGACATGCTCCCATGAATTGCATAGTTTTGTTGACATTGATTGTTAAACACTAAAATTGAGTGATGTGCATAAAATATCCACTGCATGATAAGACAGTATTAGGGAATTCAACAATTTTTGTACTTAAATTCTACATGAATGAAAATTGTGCATGGATACAATTTACATAATTACTAAATAATTTCAAAATATCATATTACCTATTTTAACCTTTGGAAAACTGCACTTCATTTGTGGTCTATTCAAGAAAGACATAAGTAATTAAAATAAATTAAATATAAATTTGCTTAGTTACTTAAACCTTGATACAATGAAGCTGGTAACCCCCATTTACTGATTCACAAGGAGATTTCCAGATTGCTGAAAACTAACTCCTCATGTCTCTGCCGTTTCCATCAATTTCTGGAACTCGGACTGGAAATAATTTGGCTTCTTACACAACCTTCATACTTCTACAAGATGTATATATTAAGAATAGACCCACTTGATTGTTACCTTATTCTACTTTTAAATACTCTTTTATTCAGCCAACTAGCCCTTCAGACCACCAGGGACTATAAGAATCTACTGACTCAAAGCAGAAACTGTGGCCAGTAAATGAAGAAAATTACAAAATTAATATTACCTTGCCAGTTTCAATATCACGTGTACCAACATTTAGACACAGGGAAGTGTTTGGAAAAGATGAAGCTTGCACGCACTAACTTTTGGACCAGGAGAGTTAAGAACTGAAACTGTACAACTTTACACTGCTCCTAGTACTGACTCATCAGTTACTTGCTAAGGACGACAAAGAACAAAAGTTTGATATATACACAAAGAATTTCAAAAAGGACAGTATATTTTATGGTAGGTCTGTATATCAACCTTTCAGACAAATCTTTCTCACAACCTTAAAACTTGACATTGGAATTACTTAACTTGGTTCTTGGTTTTTATAACAGGAGATAAAGCCCCAGGAGATTGTAAATAATTCAATAAAAAAATCATACAATTATAAATTCTGGTAAATTATCTTATATGAATAATTCGAACATTGTCCTATATTGGTCTATGGCTTTATGCCATTTATAATACAGTTTTCATAACAATAACAGTTGAAGATTAGGAATAAATTAGTGCAATCAAACAGGACAATGTACATTTTGCACATATTTGAAAAATATATTTGTTTATAAACAGTCATACTTTATTGGAATACAGATGACATAAATCAGCCAATGTGGCATGGCAGAGTGCTAGTACTATGAAATATCAGTGTTGGGTGTACAGAAATTCATTTAACTAACTTATCATTATATGATCATATTTATGTTGCAGAGACTCATGGCAGTCTTAAGTACACTGAACCACTGCCAGAAAATTGTCCTCACTTTCTTTTTACCGCTGACGTTGCCCGGGAAGAAGTGCCTTTCGTTGGCGTAGAGCGCCCACCCTGGAAAGCCAATACACAGTGGTGTCAAATATCTGCAGTCTGTAGTTTAAATAGGTTCATCAGTTTATTGGCAACAAAGTTAGCAATAACTTATTTTAAAAAACACTATGTACTTCACAAGTACAGAATCACAATCTATTTTCAAAACGCCCTGTATTTCTTGAAGACTGTCTTACCTCATACTGTGCGAGCCTCTCCTTAAGGTCAGCCACCTCGGAGGACTCTGTCTTCTTACTGGCCATGCCCAATTCCACTGTGCGCACTCTTTGCGCAAAACTCAGACTGGAAAGTGTCTCGTTCACGTTCTTCTCCACTGGGGCAACTTGGACTATCATTAAGGTTTTGCTGTCACCACCTGAAGTTCAAGCGCTATATGTTAAGCATGAGAATGTTACGTGTGTGTGTGTGTGTGTGTGTATGTGTGTGTGTGGGGGGGGGGGGCATGCTTATGCCACTAGAAACAAAATTCCCATAGTATTAACCAAGTTAACATGAGAATGTTACAGGTGTGTGTGGGTGTGTGAACATACATAAGCCACAAGTAAAACAAGGCAGCAAAGCTGTCAAATGTACAGACAAAAAACAGGAAATAACTATGCACAAAATNCTCCTGTGAGTTTCATGACAACAGGCCTATCGGTTTTCTTTGAAATGTGTTTACAGTGTTGCAAACATGCTGAAAAGTGAAAAAAACAGCATAATTTCTACAATAATGGCCCGATCATGCTGATTTTCGAACTTGACCTGCGTTTTATGAATATTCATCAGCTCTGTAAACATAAAGCCAAAAAGTAAAACTGCCTTCCACTTATCGTGTTTACAAGGAAAGTGCACGGCGCCGGCGACGGCAACAACGGCGACGGCGACGGCGACGACAGACACAGGTGATGGCAATACGTACAGACACATCTGTGTCTGTACAAAAAAATTCTTTGGTTTTAGCCAAGTTGCCCAGTAAAAACTAGTAAAAATCCTGTGAAGGAACCTACAGAGGGTGGAGAAGGGGGGGAGGGGGGGCATGTGTCCTCTCTTACCCAGAGAGTCCTGCAGGAGGTAGGTGAGCTTGGAGTTCCTGTAGGGAACATGAGCCTGCTTGTTCCTCAGGGACTGGATGACGTCACCCAGGGAGGACAGGGACTTGTTGATGTTCTGGGCTTCCTTCAGACGGGCACCGTCCGCACCAGACTTATTCACCCGCTCAGAGCCAGCCAAGTCAACCAAGTTCAGCTTGCCTATAAATTAGGATGGAAAATATGTGTTCAACCTTTATAAAATAAAATCTGAAATTTCCTGACACTTAAAGCAATTTTTAACTAATCAATAAGGTATTTCCAATCCTAAACTGTTGAGAAAATTATAAACTAAAATTTCTTTTTGATTTCTAAATTTCTTATTTATAATCAAGAGCCTTTCTTCATTACAGGCAAAATGTTGCAAGACAGAAAAACAGAATGATTATACAGTCAATTTGTTCCTGCTTTCTGTTCATTCTCTAAAAGCAGAATTACAGAGAAAAAAAATACAGAGCTGTGTATCTGAAATAAGGAAACAAAAAAATTGTTTTATCGATTTTTACTGATTTTACCATTTCTACTCACCCACAGTCTTGGCTCCAGTAGTTTTGTTTCTCCCAATCACATTCACACAGAGCAGAGCATGCGAGCGCGAGGAATGCTCATTCATGTTTGTGCATGCTGTCGCTCTGTTCCTGTGTCCTAGGGCAAAGGTCTGAAAGGAACAAGATACACTCTCACAGGAAGTCTTTTAAAACAACATGCTGTCTGCTATTGATGAAGATGGCAAAGTACTGGTGTGAAATACTATAATATATACATTTTTTAATTGTCATTCTGATGCTTTCAAAGATCGAAAACTGACTTTTCCAATCCATGCACACATTTCATGTAAAACAATGCATGCAAGTGTGTGTGTACGTGTGTGTGCTGCCCATCTGTCTACATGTACATGCCAATAAATTTTAGTCTTTTCAGCCAGAAGAACAATATACCAACATATATATATATATATATATATATATATATATATATATATATGGATGAGCACGTGCTTATGTTTGTACAGATCGCAATTCCATAAATGTGTGTCCAAAAGCACCTTATCTCATGTTGTCATGGTAACTTAGTTGATGTCCTCACCTCATTAATGTCCTCCACAGACTGGACCCTGATGGTGGTCAGCCCTGGGACATACAGACCCCCCTCGGGGCTCATTTTCACCTCCATCTTGTAGCTGGGGTCAGAACTTAAAAGGTCTCTGGAGATTAATAACATTTAAAATCATATTGTATGTTATACTGTTATCTACCAGATTTGTCATTATATCTGTTTCGTAGATGGGCTAAGAACTCAACAAGTAATAAAATTCATATTTATATCACATTAATTATATATATTTTAATTTATATAAATATTTAACATGGACTTTATATAATATATTTAATTACTGATATTGTTCTAGAGTCGTGCCTATGTGAAGTAAGTATCACATTTAAGAAGCTAGAAGACGACATATATGATCAATGAAATAAATCTTACTGCTAAATTCCAGATAAATCCAGACCAATTTTGAAAATTCCAATGTTTTTTACTATAATCCAACGCATAATTTATCAGTCAATTACCAGAAAATAGTAGTGCTACTGTAGGTCTCCATCACACTGACTGTGACATCACAACTTTACCTGATCATTTCATTGTAGATCTCCATCACACTGACTGTGACATCACACTTTACCTGATCATTTCATTGTAGATCTCCTTCACACTGACTATGATGTCACACTTTACCTGATCATTGTAGATCTCCATCACACTGACTGTGATGTCACACTTTACCTGATCATTTCATTGAAGGACTCCATCACACCGACTGTGATGTCACACTTTACCTGATCATTTCATTGTAGATCTCCATCACACTGACTGTGATGTCACACTTTACCTGATCATTTCATTGTAGATCTCCATCACACTGACTGTGATGTCACACTTTACCTGATCATTTCATTGTAGATCTCCATCACACTGACTGTGATGTCACACTTTACCTGATCATTTCATTGTAGATCTCCATCACACTGACTGTGATGTCACACTTTACCTGATCATTTCATTGTAGATCTCCATCACACTGACTGTGATGTCACACTTTACCTGATCATTTCATTGTAGATCTCCATTACACTGACTGTGATGTCACACTTTACCTGATCATTTCATTGTAGATCTCCATCACACTGACTGTGATGTCACACTTTACCTGATCATTTCATTGTAGATCTCCATTACACTGACTGTGATGTCATACTGCCACTCCAGAGCCCTGTCAGCAGTCTCCCTGAACAGCTCCATCAGTCCTCTCTGGTTGATACCTGGGTCCTCACTGGGGCCCTGGAAGGAGGGCAATATGACACAATGAGGACAATGTGACATAATGATGACAGTGTGACACAATGAGGTCAGTGTGACACAATGAGGTCAGTGTGACACAATGCGCACACAGTGACACAATGCGCACACAGTGACACAATGCGGACACAGTGACACAATGCGGACACAGTGACACAATGCGGACACAGTGACACAATGTGGACACAGTGACACAATGCGGACTCAGTGACACAATGGGGACAATGTGACATGAGGCCAGTGTGACAAAATGAGGGCAATATGACACAATGAGGACAATATTACACAATGAAGACAATGTGACACACTGAGAATAAAATGAAATAATGTGGAAATTATGACACAATGTGGACCATGTTGCACAATGAAGACAATCACAAAATGACAAAAGTTTGCGACACAAAGAAGGGTTTGTGACATAGTGACAGACATAGTGTCATAATGAAGGAGGGAAATTGTGACAACTGATTATGAGACAGTTGTGACACTTGTAAAATAAATAAGTAAAAAAAAATTAATTGGCATGCTACAGTCAACATAATAACCATGTATACATGCATCCTTTTAAAACTGAGAGTAAAGCAAATTATCAAAAGGAAAATGTCAATAAATGATTAAGTAACGACTAATATCAATATTTGACCAAATCATTCTTTACACATACAACTACATACCAGCTAAAGATATAGGTCTATAAGGCACACATGTTAGTGTGTACAGTTACCTACCTCCATGGTATATGTCTTTCCAGACCCTGTCTGACCATAGGCAAATATGCAGACATTATAACCATCCACACAGCACGTCACCAATGCCTTCACTTCATCAAATACCTGGATATCATATCATAAGCGCCAAAAATTATATCATTGTTAAAATGTTTGGGAGAATTTGGTATATTTAAGGTAAAAAAATAATTGCATGCGGAACTTATATTATAATTATCAATCTAAATTACTAATAAAAAATCCTACAGTAAATGAATTGGTTTGAAATAAGATGATATAGAACTGCTATATATATTTCATTCTTATCAAAGATTTAATGATATCTCAAAGGTGAAACCTAATATCAGTTGAGTAAAAAATACGGAAGTCAACATTTTTTTAAAAATTATATTTCAAAGCAAACTTTAAAAAATATTTTCCAACAATTAANGACAATTTGTTCCTGCTTTCTGTTCATTCTCTAAAAGCAGAATTACAGAGAAAAAAAATACAGAGCTGTGTATCTGAAATAAGGAAACAAAAAAATTGTTTTATCGATTTTTACTGATTTTACCATTTCTACTCACCCACAGTCTTGGCTCCAGTAGTTTTGTTTCTCCCAATCACATTCACACAAAGCAGAGCATGCGAGCGCGAGGAATGCTCATTCATGTTTGTGCATGCTGTCGCTCTGTTCCTGTGTCCTAGGGCAAAGGTCTGAAAGGAACAAGATACACTCTCACAGGAAGTCTTTTAAAACAACATGCTGTCTGCTATTGATGAAGATGGCAAAGTACTGGTGTGAAATACTATAATATATACATTTTTTAATTGTCATTCTGATGCTTTCAAAGATCGAAAACTGACTTTTCCAATCCATGCATACATTTCATGTAAAACAATGCATGCGAGTGTGTGTGTACGTGTGTGTGCTGCCCATCTGTCTACATGTACATGCCAATAAATTTTAGTCTTTTCAGCCAGAAGGACAATATACCAACATATATATATATATGGATGAGCACGTGCTTATGTTTGTACAGATCACAATTCCATAAATAGTGACAAAGCACCTTATATCATGTTGGCATGGTAACTTAGTCGATGTCCTCACCTCGTTAATGTCCTCCACAGACTGGACCCTGATGGTGGTCAGCCCTGGGACATACAGACCCCCCTCGGGGCTCATCTTCACCTCCATCTTGTAGCTGGGGTCAGAACTCAAAAGGTCTCTGGAGATTAATAACATTAAAAACATATTGTATGTTATAATGTTATCTACCAGATTTGGGACTGATCGTCTTTACATCTGTTTCATAGATGGGCTAAGAACTCAACAAGTATCTGATATTTAATAAAATTCATATTTATACCACATTAATTATATATATTTCTTAATTTATATAAATATTTAACATGGACTTTATATAATATACTTAATTACTGACATTGTTCTAGAGTCGTGCCTACGTGAAGTAAGGCTTCGTTCACATGGAAAGTCTATTTTCTAAAAATCTATTTTCTATTTGCGGTATCTTATGATCATGGTCTGTGCCCTGAATATCCTGCGGCGTAATTACTGGCAGCGCAAGCCAGTTACTTAAAGTAACTGTGACATCACACTTTACCTGATCATTTCATTGTAGATTTCCATCACACTGACTGTGATGTCATACTTTACCTGATCATTTCATTGTAGATCTCCATTACACTGACTGTGATGTCATACTTTACCTGATCATTTCATTGTAGATCTCCATTACACTGACTGTGATGTCATACTTTACCTGATCATTTCATTGTAGATCTCCATTACACTGACTGTGATGTCATACTTTACCTGATCATTTCATTGTAGATCTCCATTACACTGACTGTGATGTCATACTTTACCTGATCATTTCATTGTAGATCTCCATTACACTGACTGTGATGTCATACTGCCACTCCAGAGCCCTGTCAGCAGTCTCCCTGAACAGCTCCATCAGTCCTCTCTGGTTGATGCCTGGGTCTTCACTGGGGCCCTGGAAGGAGGGCAATGTGACACAATGAGGACAATATGACATAATGATGACAGTGTGACACAATGTGGACACAGTGACACAATGCGGACACAGCGACACAATGCAGACACAGTGACACAATGCAGACACAGTGACACAATGCGCACACAGTGACACAATGCAGACACAGTGACACAATGCGCACACAGTGACACAATGCGCACACAGTGACACAATGCAGACACAGTGACACAATGTGCACACAGTGACACAATGCAGACACAGTGACACAATGCAGACACAGTGACACAATGCGGACACAGTGACACAATGCAGACACAGTGACACAATGCAGACACAGTGACACAATAGGGACAATGTGACATGAGGCCAGTGTGACAAAATGAGGGCAATATGACACAATGAGGACAATATTACACAATGAAGACAATGTGACACACTGAGAATAAAATGAAATAATGTGGAAATTATGACACAATGTGGACCATGTTGCACAATGAAGACAATCACAACATGACAAAAGTTTGCGACACAATGAAGAGTTTGTGACATAGTGACATAGACATAGTGTCACCTTGAAGGGCAATTGTGACAACTGATAATGAGACAGTGGTGACACTTGTAAAATGAATAAATGAAAAAATTAATTGGCTTGCTTAAGTCAACATAATAATCATGTATACATGCATCCTTTTAAAGCTGAGAGTAAAACAAATTATCAAAAAGGAAAATGTCAACAAATGATTAGGTAATGACTAATATCAATATTTGACCAAATCATTCTTTACATATACAACTACATACCGGCTAAAGATATATGTCTATTAAGTCACACATGCTAGTGTGTACAGTTGCCTACCTCCATAGTATAAGTCTTTCCAGACCCTGTCTGACCATAGGCAAATATGCAGACATTGTATCCATCCACACAGCACGTCACCAGTGCCTTCACTTCATCAAATACCTGGATATATTAAGTACCAAAATTATATCATTGTTAATATGTCTGGGAGAATTTGATTAAATGCAAGGAAAAATGATCGCATGGGGTACTTATCAATTTAAAAATAAAATCATTCCAAAAAAAAAAGTAATGAATCGGTTTTCAATGTGCTGATGTAAAAATGCCTTATATATTTCATTCTTATCAAAGACTTAATAATGTCATAAGAGAGACCAGCTACGTAAAAAAAAAAAAAAAAAGCAATTTTTAAAAATATCTGATATTTTTAAATATCATTAAAATATCTTCATGTGACTGTTGGCCCTTAGACGGTGGCCAAGAGTTTCCAGTGATAAGTTTTCAGTAATTTCAAAAGGTAACCAGAAGCTGAATTATACACCATCTAAGGGAAAAACTGGTGCAAAAAGAAGAACCCACTTCTCATACATCACTACCCAAAAGATATGCTTTAAATGTATAATTGTAACAAAAATTAAAATATGAACTTCGAAAAAGAAAAAAAATCAAACCTCTGTCTGAGTGCTGTCCTCTGTGAAGACCTTGTCCATCTCAAATGTCTGGAGGCGTCCACCTTTGTTATTGATGAACAGCAGTCCATCATCATCCTGGTCATAACTGACCACTGACTGGGCCTGCTGACCACTGCCATCTTCACGGATGTTTGGACGGACACGACAGAAAACACGGATGTTTCCTGAAATTGAGGTAGGGATAAAATGAAATGAAGTTCATCCATAAAGAAAGTAAGTTAATATCACGTTTTGAAAAAAAATCTTTTTTCAATTGACTTTATCCATTTAATTAAGGGGCATGATGTTTCAACTAGTTTTGTCTTTAGAAACTATTACTTTTATACCATCTTTATAAAAGAGACAATGAAAAACAAACCCTCCTTTCAGCTGTTGACTGACAAACTAATATAGTTAATTAGTGATAAATGCAGCTGATACAATGTTTTCAAGCTTTAATTTTGCAAAATACACGAGATTTACTAAAATGGGTCTCATCTATAAATTCTCTACAATGGAGATTGAAAAGTTTACAGTTTGAACTATCTATAGTCTCCAGCAGCGCCATCTACCTTTGAGTTCCACAAGCTCATTGTGGTATTTTTTCCTCAACTGCATCTCCTTCTTGTACTTCCTGACTAGTTCCTTGTTGTACTCACTGACATTATGGACAGCTTTGCTAATCTGTAAAAAATACATGTGGCATAGTCATAACAACCCGATTCTTGTTACTATTTCCAGTCATAAGATCATGTTATGTTTTAATATGTGTTATTGGATTTGTTGAATGTCTGTTTTCATGAAATGAAATTTCAACTGTTCATCATATAACTCCATTAAACAAGCAGCAGACCTGAAAGTTAATCTTAGTGCAACCAACTTTATCACAAATATGCTTAAACTACCTCTTTCAGTGTCATTCCCACGGTCTGCTTAATGAGGAGAGGAAAGGCAGACATGTCCTTCTTCAATGCTTTGTGCTCCTTTACCTGAAAGAAAGAAAACAAGCTTTTATAGAGGATGTGGTTTTTTACATGATGATATGTCCATGCTACCCTCATGCACAAATGTACTTATATTTCATTAGGTATCTGATTTAGTGGGTTTAAATAAGGTTAAAATAGCCTGTCACTTGTAAAATATTTTACTGAAGCAATTTCCATCCCAGTTTAATCAAAATGCAAAAATTTCTTACAATTCCGACTTTCTTCATTCAAGGGAAGATGCATACATTCCCACTCCCTTAGGAGGTGAAGTTATTCTACAGAGTACATGACAACATACTGTGGTATAGCCTTCTTATCTATTTCCATAAATTTTAACAATCACGATCCTATATATTTTATGGCTACATTAACTGTAATAAGACAAGGATAACACGTAATAATCCACAGATGATGCTACAATCAAAGTACAAATCAATTGCAAATGACAATATAATGTACTGCAAGCTGACTTCCTCACCAGTTGCGTAAACTGAGGCCAGAGCATCTGAAGTCCCAGCTTGGCCCGTGTGTAGTTGGCGTTCAGGGACATCATCTTCTCCTCGGCCCTCTTGGCAGCCTGGTCCACGGCATGAGACTTGGTCTGCTCCAGCTGTTTCATCTCCCTCATCATCTCCGACTTGACAACCTCCATCTGCTTCTCGTACTCCTTTAACTGGATGGGAGGAAGGATTTTAAAAGAACTGTGCCATAAATAATTACCACTGCCAGTGAAAAAGGTTGTGTTTTTATTGGCATTGATAAGTATGCGTGGACATCATATCTCAAAAAGTTATCTACCAGTTCTACTGAAATATTTTGGATAAACTGGATAAAATTTTCATTGGACCATGCATTTCACACTTTATACCCTAATTGACACGTACCCTCTTTTCAAGATCAGTGACTTTGATTTTCTCTGCAGTCAACTGTTTGTTGCTGTCATTGTACATTCTTTGGTATGTCGTGATCTGATTGCGTAGCTTATCCTTCTCGGCCATGGCTTCTGCCAGTGCCTTCTTACTGGCCTCGGACTCGACTTCAACCTTCTCGACCTTGGTGTGGACCTGTTGGTCAAGAAGAAACATGCATCAAATCTTGCTTTCACATTAGATAACTTGGGGACAGTTTCACATATGAACTTATGACTGAAAGTTGGCTTTGACCTTTAGACCTTTAGTTCTAGTCCTGTGTATCATGGAGAAACATGAATTACATGTTGTTTTGTAGGGGGAAGGGGAGGGGGGGAAGCACAATAGAAATGATGACCAAAAATTCTGGTGTTAATTCCATTCAGGATAATTCAATAGTACTGAAGTAATTATTAGCCTAACACATTGTCCTCCAATAAATTTAGTCTAACTCTGTCTTTTGACTGTTTTAACCCAAAGTCTTCCTCAGTGTAGTTTAATATTTTACACTGAATAAAATTACAAAGCTAAAAAGTATTATTATCATTATTATTATTATTAGCATTTTTCATATTACTTCCCACCTGAGGCTCTTTGCTCTGTTGGGAGGTGAGATCTTGTCTCATCTGACGCAGCTGCTTGTTCACACCAACATTCTCTGAGGTCAGCCTGTGAATGTCTTCCTTGTGTTTGAGCTTTAAGTCCGAGAGCTCCTTCTGTTTTATAGCACAGTCTGTCTCCAGTTCCAGCACCCTGTTTTTCAAGTGCTCATTTTCTTCTTCTAATTTCTGTTTTTTTTTTTGTGTGTGTGGAAAAAAAGTTGCAGTATTTCAACAGTTGTTAGACATTACCTTACCACTGAAACTTAAATATGTCACAAATATGTCATAAAATAAACTGTTTTAACCACATTCAACTGTCACAGCCTTCTTCTGTTACAGTAAAAGAGAGTAATTATCACATTTTTTCATGGGTAAGATTGCAATAAAGCAGTCAATGACAAAATCTTTTTCACAAACTTTTGAATCTATAGATCAGACACTAAACATTTACAGCATATTTCTTTTACTTGTAAAATTCAAAGAGAATTAACTTCAAGAAGAGTTTCAGTATAAAACCCAAGTCAGGCAAATTGCCCCTTACTTCAAAAATAAACAAACAAACAAACAAACAAACAAACAAACAAACAAATAAATAAATAAATAAATAAATAAATGCTAACAATAAGTAGTTCTAATAATAGTAAAATAATACTATAAAAGTAATAATTGATAATACAAATAAAAATCACTGTAACTGACCTTTATTTTAGCATTCTCTGCAGCATAATTATAGGGTTGTTTGGGCTGCAGTCTGCGGGACTCGGAAAGCTCCCTCTGCAGTCTGTCACAGTCCTGCTCTAACTTCAACAGTTGTTTCTCTGTGTCTGTGCTGCCATTGCCCTGAAGAGAAAATAAATACCAACTACTATTTTATAATAAATTTCTGTTACAATGTTTGTCTCTAGAAACAAGGACTGAAACCTAAGAGTTATTACCACGGTTAAGACAATGAAATATTGGAGTCACTGTGGAAAAATTGTGAGTTTTAATTGTTTAAAGAAACTATCATAATCATCATTGAACTTTGAGTGCATACCACAGCTTCGGAAATTCTCTGCTGGATTCAAATCTGACTATGGCACCTTGTGTTAATTGTCACACCCAAAAATATGCACTGATTGACCCCAAAATCAGACTGGTTAAACTTAAAATTATATTCAACCTAACACCATCAGAATTGCACTTAAAGGGGATATGATTGTAGCAAGGCTATATATGATGACTCAAAATATACACTGATAACTATATTAAAACATTTACCTGTGAGTTTCTAAGGCCTACTACCTCCTCTTGCAACGACCTATTGTCTTTCTCCAATTTATTTATTGCACTTTTGGTAGTCCTATCCTGTTCCTCTTTCTCTGAGCGGAAATTTTGGAGCTCTGCCTGAGCTGTGAGTAACTGTCCTGTCAGCTCGGCCTTTTCAGACTCTAAATGCTGAATCTGATCAACTAACTTGTTCACCGCGGATGGAGGTTTTGATCTGCGACTTGCATCCCCTGTGAAAAAAGTCAACTAAATGATGCAAACTATATAAACAGGTTGAAAAATCATCTACTAGTAGCCTCAAAAGAATGCTACACGTTCAACATTACTGATGAATATATGCTTATCAATATGCAACATTGGTTTGTAGGCATATACATTATACCAAGTAGATTTCATACAAGATACTTTTTTCCTCAAACTTGCATGTACATGCATATGCATGTTTATACAAGCATGCACGCACTCACAGGCAGGCACAAACACAGGCCCACAACATGCTCACATACATCATGTAACAGCCTATTACCTTTAATTTCTGCTTCCAGTTGGAAGATTTTAGCTTCCTGTTCATCTATGACATCTTGTAAGTTTTGGACTAGGTTTTGTTTGGCCTCTAAGTGAGATTCGTGCGTTTTCCTCATGATCTTGATTTGCTGTTTCTTGTTGTTCTCCTCTTTGACAAGACGAGCCTTGTAATTCTTTCCTTTGTCATTCAACATCTGAAGCAGAATAACATCATTATTTTAATGTTTACTACCTTTTCTCTTTATTTTTTATGACAAATTTAAGTAATTTTAAAATAAGCTGAGAATATTTAAATATAAAAAGAAAGTTTAACTTTTGTAATCATATATCTTCAAACTCTAATCTTGAATTGTCCATCTTCTGAAGACTTCTTTGAATGCTCTGATTTAAAAAACCTGTGCATACATATTTAGAAATGCCTTCTTTTTGTCCTCACCTTAATTTTGTACAACAGTTCATCTCTCTGTGAATTCCTCTCCTCCAACTCTTTCTTCAGGGCCTGGTACTCTATCATAGAACAGGTCTCTAGAAGAATAATAATAATAATAATAATAATAATAATAATAATAATAATAATATCCATCAAAGATTTAGTTATTCATTTATTATAAAAATAATCAACGAATAAACATGATACACAGAATAAGGACAATGAAATCTTTGATACTGTTATAGAAGAATTTACTAGCAGTCCTCTATCAGGCTAAGATGTTAGCCCCAAAACTGACTTTAGACTTCCAGTAAAACCAGCCCCAGATGGCTGAGTGGACTTGCTCACCCTGTGGCTGATACTGCTCTAGTTCTTCTTCATCAGAGCTGGGCATGTCCGGCTGACCATTACATCCATACGGGTCATCTGGACACAGAACAGAGAAATACAATGTCAGCAATATAATAGCATTTTAATCAAATTATTCAAATATAAATTGTGTATTTTCAAATGATAAATAAGTAGAAAAAATAAACCCGTACCAAAAGCATAAATCAGACTGATAAACTGAACTTTTTACAACTTTTTATACTCCTCTGATAAGATATGAACCCCAAATATTGACAAATTTCCAAACAGTGAAATTTGTGATAAAACATATGTGGTTCTATTTCAATGTTAGACTATCAAGATCAAATTTTTTCTCGAACAAAAGTAACATTATAAGCTTTTTAAGGACATAACAGTACATGTACAGGTTTATTTAGCCTTTCCTTACCATCTAAGCCTAGCTGTTCCCTCCACACATCAACTCTGGATGGGGATGGTCTTGCCTGCTCTCCTACCAAACGAGGACTGAAAGTCATAGGTGTCTTGAACACTGGCTCCCTGTGCTGTGAGAGAGAAGAAGATGAAAAAAAAATTAAAGCTGACAGACACTTATTTATTTGTTGCGCCTTCCTGGCATATTTACCATATTCATTGGAAACCATAGTATTTAATGAAAATGTTGTAATTATTCTTTTTACTTTTTTATCATCAACCAATAAAATCTACTACAGTTAACTATAAAATCAAATCTCCCAGTTCAATAGCAATAGTACTTGCACAAATCTTCATGTTCAATGAGATATTTACTCCTTTTTTTTTCTTTTTTTTTTTTTTTTTTTGGCCAAGAATGAAGCATATTCAATAATTCAGGGCACTGAGATGTTTTGAACACAGTAACTGCTACATTTCTCAACTATTTCTCCAAGTCACTCTGACCAATTTACTGACATTTCACTAAATAAATTAGGACTTTAGCAGGGATTAACTTTAGAAATATTTTAGAATAACCTTAAGCCAAGGTAAGATGCAAATGCCTGCAAATATTTCAATAATAATCTTAAGTCATATCTAATTACTTGTGGCACTTTAGGGAAATAATTCTGGTAAGTCTATTTGACTGCAGGTGTGAGACAAAACCATGTATAAATTTGAACAAATACTGTGATATATTTTCAAACAAAACAGTTTTGACATTTATATACCTGAGTATTAAGGGATAAAAAAACTCTGAAACTGAGCTGGGTTAAAGAAAGGTTTTTGTCAGTGTCTCAAAATGACTGGTCTTGAAAAAATAATTGACAAGTAGAATAATTAAAGCCAATTCAGAGTAATAATTCCAGTATCAAACAGGCACTAAAATGTATACTGAGAGTGGCAAACAACATTCTGCACTCTGCGGTTATTGTCGAGAACATAAAAAATCACTCAAAAATGATGCCTTATGTTACTGTGACACAGTCTGGGATTCATTATCAAAAATTCATGTGTAAATTACCCCCAGTTTGGAGATTAAAGCAGAAAGATTAGTGAGTAATTACTTTAGCACAGATAACACTGGTCAAATACCAGGTTTATCATGTACGTAGCAGGAACTGGCAGAACAAACAGATGAGTGCAGGTAGACTACATACAAACGATCACTGTGTTAATATGTACCAAGGTGACACATGTTAAGTGCAAAGCCTGTTGTAATAATGAGAATAACATGCAAGGTGCCTGTAAAATAATGAAAATGTTGGCATTTATGTAAACACTTACTTAAATGTGATGTTGACTTAATGTGTGGGTGTGGAGAGAGAGACAGAGAGAGGGAGAGAGACAAAGTACTATTTTACCTTCAATCCCATCATATGAGAGGGGGTGACCACTTGGTACGCCATGTCTTCTTAGTTTTGTTGCCTAAACTTAAACTTCCTCAATGAAGATGTTGGCTGTGGCAACCTCACTTCTCCTTCTCTGCTGTAGTTTTTTAGACAGTCAACAGCTCAGCTGTTCACCTAAGCCTTCACAACTCCACCCACAGTTCCATGGAGACTCCATCTACATTCTGCTTCAACTGTAACAAGTCTCAAATACTCAACATTTTCTCCAAGTCCCAAAGGTTCACCAGCTTGTACAAAGTCCCTACAACCTGCTCTATATAATTAGTCGTTCCACTTGTTTGTGCTTCTTTGTAAGTTCTTCACAAATATTCAAGATTTTCAAGGGCCCACCTTCGTGAAGTGGACAGACGGCTAATGACCCACAGTAAATTTCTCTCTGGAAGGTAGAAAAAAATGTCATTTTAAATTAGGTGATAATATCAGAGGCTGGGTATAATAAAGGCACAGCCAGCATGGGAGCTGGGATGTTTGTGTTGTTATTATTACTGGGTGACTCATCCTGGTATACAATACCTGCACTTGTACATATATTATTAACCTGGATTTTTCATTTTAATTTAAAATCTTCATTTCACAAACCACACTATTTAAAGTCAGTATAAGTATTAGATTCTGAATCAACCTTATCCCACCTGTACACCCAAATAGACCAATTGGGAATTCTCAAATAATATAAACAATTAATGCCATGAAAAAATATCAAGCTGAGAGTCGAGTCAAAGTTCTCGTCAATAAGACCTCAACTTTGTGATCTCAGACAGCTAAAAATGTGAAGAAATGACAGCATGTACAACCTATGTATTGCACACAGTCACCCCACCTACATCTATTACTCCTTTATTTTCTTAGGATTTTCCTGTTGATTTGTCCATCACAATGGCCCTCCGTGCAGTGGAGGGTGCGTGCCCTTTGTTCCGCTTACATTACAACAGAGTTCACCTGTATTACCTGAGCAAACACACTCCATGGCCAGCTTCTAGTACATGTGACCAAAGCACATAGACTGATAAACAGGCTCTCTCCTTCATGTCAATTCACAAAATGAAAAATTTTACATCGGATGTACAAGTTGGGGGTTAGGAGCTAAAACTTATTTTACAAGCTTTGGTGTATTTTTTACTTCTATTTAAAAACAGACTAGCAGATCTAATTTTCTCAATGGTTTTTAAGGAAAAGGCATATCAAGGGAAAAAACTTGACATATTTAGGAAAATTGCTCTTCCTATATTAAGGTCCAACATGTAAATGGCATGCCTTTCGTTAATTATAACCCTAAATTCTAAACCCTTTTTAATGGCTCTACAGACCAATGCAGCCAATTGAAAGTGGAAATGATGGAAGTATCTATTAATGCATGCATTTACCTGGTACTTTCTAGTACAGAAGCAATCAGCATAATGCTTAATCAATCTCCAATCCAATTAGTCATGATGACAAATCAATTGACTGGGAGAGCTTTTCTTATTAAAAGTACATCAGGGGCATGTTTCATAAAAATAACTTATGCTCAAAAACTGGTCCAAACTTTTAGACAAAAACTGACCCATTTTCATTAGTGACAAACTAAATTCATTTTAACAGTAATTTATTCATGTATTTATCTATTAACTCATTTCACATTTTCATTCATTCATTCACATATCCCTTTTTTGATTGGAGGGGGGGTAGTATTGTTCATAACATACTAGACCATCAAACAACAAATTAAAACTGCATTCAATACAGCACTAAAGCATTCCTAACCTCAGTAAGGGTATCAGGAATGGATTTAACTGTGTCAAAATGGCATTTGATGACAATATCGAATTCCACATCATATTAATAATCCATAGCAACTACCAAACTGGATGCNACACTACATACAAACGTTCACAGTGTCAATATGTACAAAAGTGACACATGTTAAGTGCAAAGCCTGTTGTAATAATGAGAATAACATGAAAGGTACCTGTAAAATAATGAAATGTTGGCATTTACGTAAACACGTAAATGTAATGTTGACTTAATGTGTGGGTGTGGAGAGAGAGAGAGAGAGAGAGAGAGAGAGAGCACTATTTTACCTTCAATCCCATCATATGAGAGGGGGTGCCCACTTGGTACGCCATGTCTTCTCAGTTTGGTTGCCTTAACTTTAACTATCTTCTTCAATGAAGACGCTGACTGTGGAAACCTCAATGGTCCTTCTCTGCTGTAGTTTTTTTAACAGTCAACAGCTCAGCTGTTCACCTAAGCTTCCACAACTCCACCCACAGTTCCATGGAGACTCCATCTACATTCTGCTTCAACTGTAAAAAGTCTCAAATACTCAACATTTTCTCCAAGTCCCAAAGGTTCACCAGCTTGTACAAAGTCCCTACAACCTGCTCTATATAATCAATGGTTCCACTTGTTTGTGCTCCTTTGTATAAGTTCTTCACAAATATTCAGGATTTTCAAGGGCCCACCTTCATGTGGTGGACAGACGGCTCATGGCCCACAGCTAATTTCTCTCTGGAAGGTAGAAAAAAAATGTCATTTTAAATTAGGTGATAATATCAGAGGCTGGGTATAATAAAGGCACAGCCAGCACTGGAGCTGGGATGTTTGTGTTGTTATTATTACTGGGTGACTCATCCTGGTATACAATACCTGCACTTGTACATATATTATTAACCTGGATTTTTTATTTTAATTTAAAATCTTCATTTCACAAACCACACTATTTAAAGTCAGTATGAGTATTAGCTTCTGAATCAACCCTATCCCACCTGTACACTAAAATTGACCGATTCGGAATTCTCAAATAATATAAACGATTAATGCCATGAAAAAATATCAAGCTGAGGGTCGAGTCAAAGTTCTCGTCAATAAGACCTCATTTTTGTGATCTCAGACAGCTAAAAATGTGAAGAAATGACAGCATGTACAACCCATGTATTGCACACAGTCACCCCACCTACATCTATTACTCCTTTATTTTCTTAGGATTTTCCTGTTGATTTGTCCGTCACAATGGCCCTCCGTGCAGTGGAGGGTGCATGCCCTTTGTTCCGCTTACATTACAACAGAGTTCACCTGTATTAGCTGAGCAAACACACTCCATGGCCAGCTTCTAGTACATGTGACCAAAGCACATAGACTGATAAACAGGCTCTCTCCTTCATGTCAATTCCAAAATGAAAAATTTTACATTGGATGTACAAGTAGGGAGTTAGGAGCTAAAACTTATTTTACAAGCTTTGGTGTATTTTTTACTTCTACTTAAAAACAGACTGGCAGATCTAATTTTCTCAATGGTTTTTAAGGAAAAGGCATATCAAGGGAAAAAGCTTGACATATTTAGGAAAATCGCTCTTCCTATATTAAGGCCCAATATGCAAATGGTATGCCTTTCGTTAATTATACAGTCTCCAATGTTTAAACCCTTTTTAATGGTTCTACAGACCATCACCAATGCAGCCAATTGAAGTGGAAATGATGGAAGTATCTATTAATGCATGCATTTACCTGGTACTTTCTAATACAGAAGCAATCAGCATAATACTTAATCAATCTCCAATCCAATTAGTCATGATGACAAATCAATTGACTGGGAGAGCTTCTTTCTAATTAAAAGTACATCAGGGGCATACTTCATAAATTATAAAACTTATGCTTGAAAATTGGTCTAAACTTTCAGACAAAAACTGACCCATTTTCATTAGTGACAAACTAAATTAATTTAAACAGTAATTTATTCATGTATTTATCTATTAACTCATTTCACATCTTCATTCATTCATTCATTCATTCATTCACATATCTATGTGTTAATTCCCCTTTTTTTTGATGGGGTGGGGGTAGTATTGTTCATAACATACTAGACCATCAATCAACACATTTTAACTGCATTCAATACAGCACTAAAGCATTCCTAACCTCAGTAAGGGTATCAGGAATGGATTTAAGTGTGTCAAAATGGCATTTGATGACAATATCGAATTCCACATCATATTTATAATCCACAGCGACTACCAAACTGGATGCTTGTTATGGATGCCACAGTATTTAGAAGACCTTGGTAGTTTTGTAACAGAGGATTGGATTACACAACATATACTAGCACAGCAGAACATTCTATCAAAATTTTTCTATTCAAGCAGAACGGTTCCTCTACATTATTTGATGGTGGATATAAGGAATCTGCTTGATAAAATTATATTATAATCCACTGAAACTGATCAGGTAGTCCCCATGGTGACTAGTCCCAAATAAAAACAAGATTTAAAAAGTTATGGTCTCAGTTTATGGTTACAAGTACTAATTTTAATAGAGAAGCAAGAGACAACATTACTGGGTCTATGGCAACTTCACATTACTTTACTAGTATTGAATAGTTTTAGTCCTTTTTCACTTACTTTAACCCCCTTTACACTGGATGGTGTCCTTTCTGCGAACATGAAACTGCCATTGTGGTGGTCGTAAAAGACGCCACAAGCATTGCTTTGGTTGCAGAATGAATGCATGACGATCGGCCAGTTGTTGACGCATAAAGTATTTTTTTTTACTCTCAAACGGGGGCATACTAGAGGAGGCAGAAAGGATGGGATATTTTCCCAAAATAAATTTAATTCTGGATTTTTTGCTGTGACAGTGTCACACATCTTTAAATTTTCTACAAGAACCATGAACTTGTGGTTATTCACTCCACCGGGCACTCAAAATTAGAGCAGACTGTTTGAAACTTTACACCATAAAATAGTCGGTATATAATACCTCCCTTGTTTCTTTTGCACATCTTTGACTCATGCACAGCAGTTGCTGATAATGGGGGGGGGGGGGGGGGGGTCGGGGGTCAAAAATTATTCCACAAATCTACTAAATGACTTGTAACAGCATCATATCCCCCTTGGAGATCGAGCTCCAAGCATATGGTTTAACTTATCAATAAAACCTAACGATCATGCATTTCGATTTCGTTTAACCTTATGATTCTAGTCTCAGTCACTTTGAAGTTTCAAGAATCACAACAACGTGATAGAATCCAAGAACTCGGTAGTTTTACTCCCGGTTGTGCTGCGTTTATCTAAAAGACACTTAAACCGATTCATTCTTACTTTGGTGGGAATTAAAGTATGCGATGTCTGAAACTCTTTCACAGTTCTTCTCGGTGCCGAACACACTAAATACTCACATGTTCTTTCTTCACTTCTTCGAGAACACCTTTTAAAACTTTCGGCTTCTGACTAGAGACACATGAACTAATGACGTCACCAAAAGGGTGAACTTCAGCAAGAGCTAATATTGCAGTAGGTGAGACAAGTTTCTCAGTGCAAAGCAGCATATTTTGGCACGTTTAGTAATTTGGCTATTATTTTTTTCACGAACATGAACTATGACATTTTTATTATTGGATAATGTCAATAGCAATTTTTTATCCTTATTGTTATCAATTGCGCTTGTCTATAATTGTCAATGCAATATACGCGCAAATTATTCCTTCTTGGTTCATAAAGAAAAATGTTTAAAAATCTTAGTAAAATAGGGGCCTATATTTAAAAAAAAAAAAAAAAAAAAAAAAAAAAAAAAACAGGCCAAGCTAGCTAATACAGATGGCCAACTGGTACAGCTTGGGATGCATTTCCCCGTTATTTT